CGAACGCAGCGTGTCACTGCAACAGCACGCGCTGATTCACTGGCACCTGCCAAGCCAATCCCCTACCAACCACCTTCATACTTCATCGCTACCTCTCTCTCTCGACCCCGCCTTGTCCCCCTCCTCTCCCCTCTGTGTCCATGCTGATGACCTCTCGCACCGTGGTTCAAGTCCGTTTCCATTGGTGGGTGCGTTAATTTTGGTCATAATTAACCGTTCTCTCTCGACGCTGCTCTGGTTTAATGGTTATCGTCATACTCGACTTACAATCTAGAAGTCGCCAATTCGATTTCCCAGTGCGGCAGATGAAACAACGGTGCACGTTTCTTCAATGTCCCCTCTCCTGTCCAATTTGCAGCATAAATGGTTACGACACAAGTCGGTCGATCGGTAGGTCCCGTTTGGTGGTGTAATGTGTGTCACCTAGAGCTCCGTCTAGTGGACACACTTCTGCCAGTAATGGCGATTAGAAAGAAATTGCAGGGCTGCTCCTTTACCTGTTTTCACTGGTTGATTAATTGATTATTGATTGAGGTTTTTTGTAAGTATCATACAATAATACAATCCTGTGTTTTGTATTTTCAAAGCGGCAACTTGTTTAATTATTGTACGTTTGCTTTATTCAAGCTATGATACATTTATGTTGATTATATGATTTGTTGACTGTAGAAAGTTGTACACAGTGGCTCCTGCTGGATTTGTGCAATCCCAAGAGGCCGACACTGTCATTCACCACTCCCTGAAATAGTTTTTGGGGACTTGTTTGTCAGATTGTCAAAAAAACGAACGTAACCATAAAATGTAGTCAAAACACAATTTCTAAGCAACAAAAAGTTGACAACGCACTTGATAGAGGGCAAGAATTTAGGATCGCCCAGCATATGCTTCTGTTAATCTGCTCACAAGAGTGGGTTCAGTGTACTAATATGGGTATACATTCCCATTCGGGTGGATCCCGTGCTACGCATCACGGCTTCTTGAGACGCAGCAGCATTTAGATGCTGCATAAATCAAAATTGTGACGTAAAATATTACCTTCCTGCTGCACTGTGCTTACACGTTTAAATGCGCTGTAATGCAAACGCCCTACTGGAGGTGGTGTGGCGGGAATCGGGAAAATCAATAAACCAGACAGGCAGTCATCGCATTCTCATCGCCAAAGAAGGGGTGCAGTTATTTTTTCTCGTGTCTGCCAATTGATTGATATTCAAAGGAGCTGAAACGAGTCACTTTTTTCAAAGATTTCATGAAACATGATGAAATAAATGTAATTAGAAACTTTAACATCAGTTTTGAGCAATATCAAAAAGTCAGCTTATCCTCAAACCAAAACAAGCATTGATCGGTGCTCATCTCCATCGGTGGCTGAGCCAGTGGAGATAATTTCACATTCCTCTCCGCACAACGACCATTTATTTCCCAGAAAGCAAGACTGATTTTATTGACCCTAGGGGGATATTGGGCCATTAATTAATGAAGCCATGACCAGGTTTCGAACCCACGATCTTTCTAATTGTAAGCCGGGTTCTTTAAACAAGCACCCTGTGGCCTAAACATCCACAGCAGCGTAATATTTAATGTTGCCGATCCATCACAATGTCGACGTCGCTCTTCTGCTGCGTGCGGACAACTGCGCAAACAGCTGCCTCTGAAACATCTGCACCTCCAGCTCGCCGGGCGTCAACGGTGGCATCGAGAGTGATGGCGCGCGCGCGCCTCTTATCGCGCTCATCTTTCCCAACACTCAGCTCCCTCGAGCTGCCCGACACCTCGGCTGCTGATGCCGCGCATTCCGTGCTCCCTATCCGAGCCGAGTGCCGCGATCGGCCACCAAAAGCCAAATGTGTAGGGGGGGCCCTTCCTTACACCCCGGGCCGTGCCACACCCTGCCAAATATTACTTACCGCGCACACATGCCAGGAGGCGAGCAGCTGTTCCAAACACAAGCCAGATCCGGGCAAGGCTGGATCCACAAATAAACGTGAATCACCTAACTCGCGTATCGGCCACCTCTGTCAAGCCCCGCATCCCCACAGGAGAAAAGCACCAGGACGTTGCTGCTCTTTTAACCTCTTGGCCATTTCCAACGTTCAACGCTCTCGCATTGTCCCAGCACGTGTCCACTTAACACCGTCGTTAGCCCAATGATAGCCGTGGGCTGCAAAGGCGCGTTGTCGCCATGTGAAACAAAACCCACCTCCAGAACAAGAGCATCCTCCTTCACAATTACAAACAAGAGTCAATTTATCAATATGCTAAATATCAACTTCTGCCTAGATTCATTTGACCTTTAAAAAAAACATGTAAATATATGTTGCCACAGGTTTATATATGTTTTTAAAGCTCAAAAGAAAATTGACCAAATAGTCCAAGCTGTACCATTTCTGAAAATATCTCAGAGGCTTTTCATTTGAATGATCACATTAAAGTCCAAATGTTTTATTTCTCAAATGTGAATTGGGAAATGCTCACTTCTGTTGGAGTCAATAGTAAAAATTTTATTCCTATGGCAGGGACAAATTTTCAGAAAAACCACTGCTGACTTCCCACAAACAATAGTCATTTCATTCGATGTCGATGGAGTTGAACCCGCAGATCGGACTTTTTTGGTCACAACTATCCGGTGGTGATGCGTGCGCTCTAACCACAGTGCCCATCTGGGCAGACATTTATTCTGAAACGGTCAACACAAATAAAAAAAAACAATCCTTTCTAAAAACTCTGAACACTTGCGTTAAACCAATGCTGCCATCCATAAAAGGTGGGGAAGAAGCACATTTTTTTAGAAACTAAATTCGAAGAACACTTGGCCTGCTTCGCAGTGCGTTCATTGCGCATTCAGCCAAGTACTCCGTGCACGGTAACAGGCGGGGCTGAATTTCAGCAAGGTCTGTCCAGGCCGGCAACTCGGAAAATATTTCCAAACGTGGCACACCGCATCCAGTATACTTTCGATATGGCTGTGCCTACTAGCCCCATGCCAACTCCAATTGTAACAGCGATCCGGAAGATATTTCGGTGAAATATGAAGCACCTGCAACAGGGTTTTAAGGCACGGAGTTCACTGGGGCATTTCGCGACAGCCAGGCCGTCCTTATAACCCCCGAGAATTGCAGCTACTCAATCGGGAAACACTCACACGTAAATTGTCACTCCGCTGCTGTTGTGTGTTGCATTCATATCTGTGTGATGTATTTATAGGTGGCACATTCACAATTTCCAGGCAGCCCGAGTCACAATGTGACACATGCACACAAGTAAACAAGCACACACACACACGCATGCCCACGTGAGTACAGTGTATATACAGTATATTTAAGGGAAAAAATTGCCAAATTGTCTGGTGGCAGTTTAGTCCGAACGCGTTAGTGAAATCTGGCCCTAGAACATATTCAAATACAGTAATTAGAATGCATCCGTGATGAAGCCAGTTATATAAATTCCACATTACTTTGGCAGGAGCCAGCCTCTCATTTGCAAGAAAGTGTTTTTTTAATCGTAAACTAAACGCATGTCAACACAAGAGTACAACAAGGTATATTCCAGAAGAAACTTTTCCCTTCTCCCAATAATATGCATGTGCCATATAACGTCAATTGGGAACATGGAACGTCAATTGGCCGGACTTGGTGAAAAGGTTAAACTCAGAATAATGTCATTGATTCAAATAGGGAAACGGAGCATCCCGCTCCCCATGAACCTGGGGCTCGACTTATCAGTCAATTTCGAAGCATTTTGTTAAATCTGCAAATGCCCCACCACCACAACACCAGCTACGAATGTTACTTCTGACAGTTATTGTTGATCAATCTCGTTTAGAGTTAGGTTTGATTGATTTTAGGAGAGCCTATTCTTCCCGCCTGCCTGCCTTGTCTGGACTTAAGCCCCAGGCACGAGTCCTCATCACCAGCTGTTGCCACTCAGCACACACATTTGGGTACCAACAATGCATGTAATGTCATTGGAATGCGGGCACATTGTCATCTTACTGTGTAAACACGCGTGTGCCTGTACACACACAAAACTGGCTTACACACATGCGCACACGAGTGCATTTGGTATGTCACGCACAACTTCGATGCTGTATCGTTCGTGACACGTGAGCTGCGTGTGTGTATGTACGCGCACGGTGAGTTAAAACACAAATGCGTGAACACACGTGGCACGGAACGGATGCGAGCTCACATGTATTGATGCGCACACAAATGCGCGTAGGCGCACAACGTATGGACGGCAATTATATTAGGTTGGACAAAGACCCCCTTATATTCGTGGACTGCCGGTCTTCATAGGTGCTCGTTAACAGCATGTCACAACAATCTATTAGGCATGAACACACGCACATATGCGCAAAAAAATCGTTAAAAATTATATTACACTGGAGGTATGGACACAGACGTACATGCACGTATGGCTACACACATGAGTACATTAGATATGTCCGTGCATGCATGTATTATCGCACATGTATTATCACACGTATTAAATAAATTAAGCACACAGAGACGGGTATGAATGGACACGTACAATAGAAGGATCCGCGCAGTGCATAGACCAACACATGTATGGGTACACACACATGCAGCGGTACACTTAACTAGAATATATAACGATCCATGGCTACGGACACATGACCAACGCGCACGCACACACGGACATGCACGGGACAATGTATAGGGTCAATCAATGGACATCCATATCTATGAACACACGTATTGACACGCGTGCACGTGTGCATAGGGAGATTAGCGCACTCTTTGATGGTATAATACAATAATTTACAGTCCTGTCAATCAACTGCTGGATGAAGGTTTCCGTTTCGATCGTGGAGATTGTTTGACTATACTTCACCATGCTGGTCAATGCGGGTTTGTGACGAGCTCGATGTTTAGCCGTGGCCGGTAATCGAACTCGGCTCACCTAGTTCGCAGTGCGCAAATCGTACGCAGCTCACCCTTACGCAGACACACACACACGCAGACAGACAGACGTCGCCTCACCGTCCGCAGAAACTGAATCTCATCCTCGCCGTCGCCCTCCGCGCCCATGGTCGTGACTTGTCAAGCCCTGCGGTGTTTGTGTGGTGGTGGTGGTGGCGGGGGGGGGTCGCTGAGTGTGGAGACCGCCGCACGCCGCTCCGCTTAATCCGAGCACTGAGACTCGGGGCACGTGCGCGCGCGCGCCTGCATCTCGCTCGCGCGCGCGCGCGGCACCGGCGACACGCCCACTCTCAGACGAACCCTCCCCCCTCCTTGCCCCGCCCACTTGTGCTTCAATGCCCCGCCCACTGAAACACACTCACGTTCTTTCGGTGAAGTCACGTAGGTAAAAAAATGAAATTAATAAAAATAAAATAAAAAATAAAATCACGAGGCAGCAAATCTGGCTGTGACGGTCCCACCTGATGACGGAGAAACGTCGTGATTTTATTTATTATTTTATTTTTATTAATTTTAATTTCATTTTTTTTACCTACGTGATTTTACCGAAAGAACTAAGAGTATGAATCCTTGCAGTCACGAAAGCTTCAAATCTAGAACACTCAAGCCCCGGTCACTGTAAAAACAAGCCGTGCTTCGAGCCACGCCTACTGAAATAAATCAAGCCCCGCTCACGAAAAGACAAGCTTCTCCCACTGCATCAAGCCCCGCCCACTACGAAACAAGCCCCGCCCACTACAAAACAAGCACCGCCCACTACGAAACAAGCCCCGCCCACTACGAAACAAGCACCGCCCACCACAACACGAGTACCCCCCCGCCCACTGAAAAAAAGCAAGCGCCGCCCATTGTGCATCAAGCCCCGCCCACTGCACAATAAGCCCCGCCTACAGTGCCTCAAGCCCTGCCCATTGTGCATCAAGCCCCAGCCCCGCCTACAGTGCCTCAAGCCCTGCCCATTGTGCATCAAGCCCCGCCCACTGTACAACAAGCCCCGCCCACTAATAACCAAGCCCCGCCCATTGTGCATCAAGACCCGCCCACTGCACAAATAAGCCCCGCCTACAGTGCCTCAAGCCCTGCCCATTGTGCATCAAGCCCCGCCCACTGTACAATAAGCCCCGCCCACTAATAACCAAGCCCCGCCCATTGTGCATCAAGACCCGCCCACTGTCCAATAAGCCCCGCCTACAGTGCCTCAAGCCCCACCCACTAATAACGAAGCCTCGCCCATTGTGCCCTCCCTGGTCCGCAGGCCACGCCCACAACGAAGCGAGTCCCGCTCCGACTGCAACGCGAACCTCGCCGATGCGAAGCTTCGAACCAAAGACAACTTCCCCCCCACCCCCACCGACGCCTGTGTCGCCTCTACAGACTTTCGGGGCTAGTTGCTGTCAGCGAGGAGCGCCTACGAAGGCCGGCAACGGCACTCGAGGGTGTGGGGTGGCCAGCACCCACGCCCGGCCGCCTTTGTCCCCCCCCCCCAGTGGCGATGTTTACACACCGCACCAGGTGCTCATTTGAGGCCGAGTCGACCTAGGGAGGCCCAGATACCGGTCACGTGCGTTGGCCGTGAGCAGGAATCTTAACTCGGGTCCGTCGGGTTCTTAGCGCAGTCCATAAATGACATCACTCACCTGGGTGGGGGGGGGGGTCAGATATTTGTGACGATCTGTAACGAGGGGGGGGGGGGGGTTGGGAAATGTGACGTCACATCAAAATGCGCAACTTTTAATAAATGGACAACACTTTCTACTTAATAAAATAGACTTTTTATAAATGTTTTCTCCTACAACATCAGAGTGCAGCGCCACATTAAATATGCACTACGATGACAATAGCAATAGTTTAAAGCGATTTGAAGCATTTTTTTTGAGGGGGGGGGCAGAGCTTTGTGACGTCATATTTGAGGGGGGGGTCTGACTTTTTGTGACGCCGCGTGACGAGAGGAGGGGGGAGTCAAAAATCGTCCAAAATCGCGTGACGTCATTTATGGACGGCCCCACACTTATCTGACAGGCACTATTTTACTTCACTTTACCGAGTGTTAACATCCCCAGTGTTTAACAGTACTCTCTTCATTGTTCAGCCAGCATTGGTATAAACATGGGCATTTGCGTTATTTTTCTATCATGTGTATCAGGCCCCCCCTCCCCCTCTCTGTCCAATGCGTTGGCGTGTGCAGCAGCAACCGCGTCCAAGCCGTCGTCCATCCTTTTGGCCCCGCCCCCCTCCCCCTCCCGATGCGTTGTACGTGGCACTCCGTGCCGTCTTTGAGCCCCCCCCCCTCTCCTCCCCCCTCAACTTGCTTGTTAAGGGATTACATCTTGGATCATTGCCTCACTTGATGCAGCTAATCCGGCTGTGACGGTCCCACCTGATGACGGAGACTTGTGTTGCCTTCGAAACGTCGTGATTTTTATTTTATTTTCATTAACTTTGATGTTTTACCTACGTGACTTTACCGAAAAAAAAACCTAAGAATACGCTGGAGGAAAATGTCGGGCTGCCCATGACGAATACGTCAGAAATGCAACATGGGTAGTAACACAAATGACTACTATATATAAAAAAACTGACTTACAGCAGTAACTAGTGGCCTATGAGGGCTTAAATAAGCTACAGCCGTTTAGGCAATGTCCACTTCCCGCTGAAATGTATTAAATAAGAAACCGGCCAATCATCCCCAACGCAGGAACCTCCTGAATGAGACTCTTGAGGCTCAGTAAGGCGTGCTTTCCTGGGTAATGATTGTAAATCTAATTCGTGGCATTTCGGAGTTGTTTTTTCACCCGACCACTAAAACCTTTTAAATGCTGTTTTCACGACACGGTGATCGTTCATTTTAAAATTCAAGTCTGCCTGCTCAGTGAACTCACAGTGACTTAATTGGCTTAATTGGATTTAATCAGAATTGACAAGACTTCAACTCGCTCGGGCACAATAAATGAGTCTAAGCAAATGATATTGCGCCACCTAGAGGAGGTAATAGCCGTGCAGAGTCAAAAGTGGGAAGCAATGGATGATCAACAACATTCTACTAAAGCAACGGGGATACATTATGAATACATTTCATATTTTCGGAGTGTTCTAAATGTAAGTCTTGATTTTCGACTTTTTATTCAAAAAATCGGAATGATCCTAAAATCTCAGGAACATCCCTAGATCAACATTATCAACATTAATACAACAATCATAAGTGTCATCAAATATTAAAACAAGCGCATGACATACCATTAACGTTGATGCCATCATTGACCACGCCACAATGACCTCTTGACCTTGGCATACTTTCGGTAGTTCCCATGAAATTACCGCGCACTTTTTGAGCGAATTCAACTGATTATTGCTTGTGAACTGATCCATTGGCAATAAAAAGAACATTATTATTGAACAACATGGAGCTCTTTGAATATTTACCCCTAAATACTGAAATTAAACAATTGTGATTGCCTCGCTTCCAATAACAGTAATACATCTTTATTTTTGGTAAAAGTCCAATTGTCGACCTCTTTCAGCCATTCACAGCTACAGCCAATTCAATCAAAACAACCCGAGGACAATAACTACATCGTGACATTTAAAGTGGTAAATTATACAGGTAGGAACAACAGTTGCACACTGCCCACCAGGGATTATTTGTCTGTCGTGCATAGCCCCTCCCAAACATGTACGCTCCCGGATTGGTTGAAGTGCGTCACGTGACCGCGAACTTTCTGTCGTGCACGAATGCGCTGTCCAACCAAGTTCCTACCTGCCCACTCCGAAGGAACGTGTTGTACATGAATGGCATCACTTTCTAGATCTTCAAGTTATGAGCATCTGCAGTAACACTTCAATTCTTCAATACACTAGAAATAACACTTCTAGATTTGAAGCTTTCGTGGCTGCATGCTCTTAGGTTTTTTCGGTAAAGTCACGTAGGTAAAATAATAATAATATAATAATAAATGAAAAACAACTACATTCAATCATATTTTTTTCATTTCTTATTATTATTTTATTATTATTATTATTTTACCTACGTGACTTTACCGAAAAAACCTAAGAGTAGAAATAACACCTCAAAGGGATGAACTATATATCTTTTAATTGTCGCCACTTACTCTTTCCCACAGTCTGATCATATAAATATCGGACTGTAGAGGTGATGTGGGGTAAGTGGAGGTCAAACATTGACCTTAATAATAATAATAATGCAATTTATAACGCGCGCAAATTTGCGGATTTAACGGCCGCAACTCAGAGGCGCGGAGCCAAACTCCGAGTCGCTCAAAAGCGTGGTTATAGAGGTGAGTTTTTAAGTCTCTCTTGAAGGAGGCGATTGAGGTGATGCTGCGAATGTGCAGAGGGATTGCGTTCCAGACTGTTGGGGCTGCCACCGAGAAGCGGCGCATAGACACGATGACCATCCTGGATCTTGGTATCAAGAGGAGGTCGTGAGTCGCACTGCGCAGGCATCTGCCGTGTGCTGAGCTGCGAGTTGTCAATAATGAAGAAAGGTACGGCGGGCAGGCAGATGTGAAGGCATTGTGGCAGAGGCAGGCGATCTTGTATATGACCCTGCTGGCGATGGGTAGCCAGTTGAGGCCACGGAGACAGGCGAGTGCTCTGGGCTCATTCAGCTGTTCTCCCTGACGATCTCTTACACTTGCGCTGACCGCAGCCACACTGTCTCAGCCACTATAAATCTGGCTAAACTCGCTGATAGAGTATTTGTTATTCTTGCGTGATATTGTTCTTTATTAAAATCACGAGAGAAAACGTTCAACGGTATTGCTTTTCATCTTTTTCAATTTAGTTAATGGCATGATAGCACAATGCAAAGAATACATTTGGAACTCTCATTTGAGAAGGGCACTTTGATTCTCAAATCGGGAATTTGGTCAAATTAAGTTCCAAACCCAATGTAATCATTGTTTTTTGTGTGCAATCATATTCAAACTGAGCTGAAACTATCAACTCGCTACATTTGAGAACCTGGTTTAATCACAGGCAGATCTCAGCAATACCGGCTCAGGGCTCTGGTATCTAAGCCACCTGGTCACCTCAATGCATTAGCTCCACATGCCTATTCCACCAAACAGTTTGTAATAATTGAAAAAGAGTACTTGCTGGAACTTTTACGTGTAGAATAAATAATTAAAACACATAATTTACACTTTTAGCAATCCACTGCTGTGATGAAGGCTTC